ATGATGATTCTAAATAACGATAATAATAAATGAATAAATGTTTGAATATTACTTATTTATCAAATAATCGAAATATCATTTTTTTGCTTGTAACGGATTTTTGAGGCTAGTCTTATGCTGTGAAAGCGACGGTGCTATACGTCAGTTTGAAATTTTAATATTGTGTTTATATTTTTTGTAAATTGAAACTGCGAAAAAATAAAAGGACTTCCTTAGTGGATATAATAAATGGAATGGAAATATAAAAAATGGCTTTAATTAAACTTGTAAGTATTAACAAAGTATTATAATAAATAATATTTGAACATTGATTGATTGAGTTGATTTTAATTGACAAATATTTTCTTCGGTTAAAAGCAAAGCAAATGAGTGAAGACGAAATTGTGTTTTTTCTAGATACGCTAATTGCTAAGTATCCAGTCATTCAAACGCTACAAACTCAACGATCGACAAGTTAAAGGAGGAAGCTTGGAGGTCCACCTCAAGTGAATTCGGTGCTGCAACAGCTGAAGTGCGCCGTCCGTAGCAATTGCGCTTAAAATGGGGTGACAAAGCTGCTCGAAGACTCAGTGTATTATTTAGGCAAAATAATTAGAGTGATGTTTATAGCCTAAAGCCTTACTCAATAAATTTTTAAACCGACGCAATTTTTTCCATTAAAACAAACAGACAAATTATTCAGCTTTGTAACATTAGTATAGATTAGAATGACAATGAACCTGGCGATAGATACACACGTATACAATCGATGACACCCAGAACTCTGGGAAAATCTGCTACCTCCTGAAATTTTTGCCCAGTAGGTACTATCCATTATTTTTATAAATTTTGGATATACACACGATACCTGCATCAGCTGCAATACGACTTGCAGATGATTTAGATAGTTCAATTAAATCTAACACCGATAAAAGAACGGTACCCAGCGCGTAAAACCTCAACGTCAAGAGCAACGATGTAAAGGCGATACCCCACTATTCCTAAACAGTAAAAAATGTTTTTTAAATAGTTCTTAAATATACCACAATAAACTTGACCTCAAATATTTCAGCGTCACTTTCATCACTAAATAATTCAATTTTTTCCTTACGTTTAATAAACAAAACAACGCAAGAAATATTCAGTAGCAATTAACACCTGTAAACCATTTCGTAATCTTTTGGAAATCCGTCAAAATCGGTAGTTATCAGTCAAAGTGTTATTGAAACGCCTAAATTCTATTTTGTATGAAGTAACCTATCAATGATAAGAAGTTGTCCCTCTCAACAGTCAGTTGCAACCATTTGTTGAAATGTCAATCTACCTGATCTAATCCAAACTTCAAGAATTTTAATTGTCAGTTACGATTGTCATTTCTAGTTAAATGTTAGTTGACCCATCAGTAAAATACTAGTTTCCTAAGCATATCCGACAGAGGCGCCGGTCAATATTGAGCTCTCAACTGAAATTACGTTCTGCTGAAAAAAAAAATTTAAATATATATATTTTTATTTTTGTTAATACATATACGCTTACTTTACTTTAGCTAATATTATGTATTTCCTCAACATATTGGGTTATATAATGTAATGTTTTAATATAAAATATATATATTTTTTATATACCTATATCATTGTTTTTCGGGATGTTCGGCCGACGTGAGCGAGATGAGGTTCTCGATCTAATAATTCTTCGAGCAATCGAAGAGTTAACATCTCCTGATGATGCCGTCCGCACGTGATGGCGAAACGTCAAGAACCTCTTCTCGCTCACGTCTGCCGAACAGCCCGAAAAACAATGATATGCTAAACGATAGCCGTGAAAGCCTTACACAATTTATATATTTTTTTTACCTTCATAATATATCTTCTGATTACGACTTTACCATCTTCATGTGGTTCCCCGTTTTAGCGTGACCCGCGTGAGATATTTTACGTCTGAAAATTAATAAAACCTTTTTTCTTTACGAGAAAAGGTGTATTTCAATAAATCTACTAGATATATGTAACATTAAATATTCAATTACAAAAAAAAATCACCATCACATATTTGTGCACAAAATGATCAATTACGCGTGAAGACCGATATTAAATACGACTATTAGTAATTATTGCGTATTATTTAATCTATTGGAATACCCTGACATCCAATTAACCAACATCATCAATTTGTATCTCTTAATTATAGGCACGGGCTTTACCTAATACCTTTACAATTGACCTTAATTTTGTCGGTAATTATTTACTTCTTAGAACCTGCTTTTATAATAATTAAATTATTTAGAGATTAAAACAATAATCAGGTATGGACCGCTTTTGTAGAAAAAATCGATCACTGAAACAGATAAATACGTTCGCCCCATGTCCCACGTAGTGGATATATGGTAATTAGTGTAAATACATATACAGATGACCTCACCCGACTCCGTTCACATGACATTGGACTTGCTGACACCTTCTTTAGAGGTGGGCTTACATGGCTCAGCGTGTAGAGTCATTTCTGGCGTAACTTCCAAGAAACGTTCGGAAGCCTGAAAATTTTAATTTATTTTGAGCAATTTGTGATTCGAAATCTGGATATTAAATAGTTGGTAGAAATATTGAAATTCCAACCGGGTCATGAACCATCGTGTCAATTCATTTTTTGGTTCCGTACCGCATTGTAATTATAATGTTCTTTTTTTAAGGGCTGCGTTATTTCGCTTTTCTTTGGTGTTTATCCACAGATAGCCGTTAATAGATAAAAAATATAAAAATAAAACACTCAAACGGTTTAAAACACGGTATATATTAGTTAACCTTATTTGAAAAGTATTTTCAACCACGGCCCGATGTTTCGGAAGCTTTGGACTAATATATATCGCGTTTTGAACCGTTAAAGTGTTTTACTTAAATGTATACTACTCGCGCAAACTACTGTATGTAAATACTGTCAGTTTTTATAGATTGTTATTTTTTATGATAGAGGCACATCGACGACATTAGCATGTGGTTCATTTGGTGAAAGGAGGAATAACCCAACCATAATAACAACTAAACAAGGTGCGCTACAGACCTTATTTTACCTTTATTATACAATATTGGCATTTAAATAAAACACTTTAACGGTTTAAAACGCGATATATTAGTTAAACTTATTTGAAAATGCATGCAGCAGCCGTGGTCCCGTGACCACGGCTGCTGCAAAGCATCCGAAACGTCGGGCCGAAGTTAAAAATCATTTTCAAATAAGTTTAACTAATATATCGCGTTTTAAACCGTTAAAGTGTTTTATTTAAATGTGTACTACTCGCGTAAACTATAGACAGTATTTAATATTTGCATTGACTAAAACCCAATTGAATGTCCAGAATTTGCAGATGGAATCTCAAATATGTGTAAAAAATGTATATATAAATTTATGTATGTATCGGTTAGAGTTGGTGGGAATCGAATCCACGACCATATATTTACGTGGCCTGCTGTTGGACCAAAAAGCCAGTTATATTGCACTACTAATAAACCTGATAATTTATTGTATCAGTAAAATTATTATAAAAGTTCAACACAAGTGGATCGCAGAGGCTTCCGTTTGTTTAGGCCCGACGCCCTCGCTTCACACCGCTCCGCTAAGAGTTATCCCTCAATTCTCACGTAACCGACGATTTGATGCATCTCAAAGAGATTTTACTGTTTTATTTTAAGTTAACACTGTGAAGCAACAATGGGCAAACACAATTAAATGTAATTTGCGTTTGATAATTAAACTGTCTCTAACTGATTGAGACGCGATAATATGCATCTCTACGACCGGACGTGATGTTTCGCATGTTAAGGACAATCAAACAGTCTTTTCTCCATAAACTATACATATACGTTTTTGTTTACTAGTCGAAGCTTGTATACAACACGAACAATTATAGCTTACTATATACCTACTACTAGTTTTGTCTTCAATTTCCTTATCAAAATACGTGCACTCTCGTATTTCTTGTCTAGGAACGAAAGGGTAAAGGTTACGAACATAAATTAAAATGCTCTTATCTGGACGATAATATTTTTCTGATTTCCTTAAATCGCTGATAACTATTGTTAGAATATACATATTGAAATTTGCTAATACAACTACAATAAAACAAAAGAGAGATATTTTGTGTGGAAAACCATTATGTAAACAAAACATTTTATTTACAATTGTTCGGTATAATATATTTTATAATATCGCAAAATAGAATCGCTTTAATAGATAAACCACGGCGATAAAGGTTAGATTGAAAAGATTTTTGACTCACCGTGTTTAGTCCATAGATAACATTAGAGAAGAGAACAAACAAAAAATTGTAAGATTTGTTTGAAATCACAATATTGACGCGAAGACTTTTTCCTGTTGTTTTGTGCGGCATTTCTTTGTGCGTGTGCGCCCGAGCCCCTCCGTCGACTCCGTTTGAGGAAAATAAGCGAAACAACACAGATACCGGTTAACCGTATTTTCCCGACACATTAGATTATGAATGGATACGTCAGATAAGGCCCATCGGCTTCGTATATAAGCCTTACATTGCCAGCGGTGCTTCATTCTCTTCTTGCGAACCTCGGGGCACTCTGTAAGTATAAACAATATTTTATCCTGACTTGTGTTTGTATTTTATGCAATCAAACTATATTTGATAATCAGTATTAAGGTTTTCATTCATCATATTTGCCTTTTATTCTGTCATGGAATCCAATTAGTGAGAATTTACTTAATTCTTCCACAAATTCGAAGTATTTAAACAAAGAACGTGAAGAATGCTTTGATTGTAATGTATGCTCTATAACGTGCATTATTTCTACTACTATAACTTCACTACTTAAATAGTAAAAATCAAACCAGACGTATTAATAACTATTTTCATAAACCACATTTGCCAATCATGTTAACGTTGATTAAAGTCGAAGTTATTAGTTAACGATATTAGGCTCTGATGATGAAATGGATTTAACAAATTGTCCATAAAGGTAAATCATTTTCTTCCGTCGACAGACAAAACCGACAGCAACAAAATGGCCAGCTCTCGCCTTCTCACCGTTTGCCTGTGCAGCCTGGTGCTCCTACTCGTGATCGCCCAGAGCCCGGTGGATGCCTCCGTGCACATCGGCAGCTGCGTGTGGGGCGCCACAGACTACTTCAGCGACTGCCGGAAGGAGTGCAAGAACCGCGGCTACAAGTCCGGCCACTGCGGAAGCTTCTGGAACGTGAACTGTTGGTGTGATTAGAAGAACTAGACCTAGACCTAGTTACCATGTATTACTTAGATTTAATTTAGAATTAATAAACGCATCCTCACCAACTCTCTGCGTGCATATTTTTATATTTCCCTCTCCGCGTTCTCCGTTGAGAGCCAGAGCAGCCGATGTCTCTGTTGTCTTGGCACTAATAAAGGAAAGGTCCAAAGATACGCGTGCCGGTGGTGTCGTCCCAATTTATCGTCTTATTGGATTTATTGAAATTCCTTCTCAATGTGTTTTATTTAAATGTGTAATACTCGCGTAAACTATAGACAGTATCTAATTCCTTCTCAATTTAACATTTACACGTGAAGACGATAAATATTGTGATCTTTGAGGCACCGTGTCTCCCGGTTAAAGTGTGACTTTCGAGGCGGGAATTAAAATTATTCCGCGGACTATGCGATCGGTATAACAGGTTTGAATCGGGGCATAAAAGGAAAAACATATAGTTCACGATATTTTTATTGCATTAAGGAAAAAACACGTCTAAATGATATTTACGACGAGCAGGAATTTGAATAAGTACTATAAAGTTAATCAGATGGAAAATCTAATTGTTATTAATTTTACTGTGGGTTTTGTATACCTCAGTATCTCGGATGTAAATTGAGGCTGCCAGGGGCAAAGCAGCTTAACTGCAATTTTATGACTTGAGTTATTTGTTATTTTAAACGCGTTGTTGCCTCGGGTTCGAACCCGGAAAATCCTGACGGTTTTATAAACATTTTCATGCCCCTCTGATTACTCACTAATCTATACATAAAAATAGCTTATTTTAAGGTGCAGTTTAATTTCTCGTCACATTGAATGAGTAATTAAGGAAATAGTTATTACTACAAAACCTTATTAGTGAATTAAATATTATTTTTAAAAGACTTGCATTGTTTAATTAGTTTTATGTCGAGTGTATTTTTATTTATTTGTCTAATTTTTATTACTTGTTATGAAGCTAGAATCTGCACTAACACAATTGTCAAGAATATTGACTTAGCCCAACCTCGTGAGACAAAATGATAATGAATTAATCTCATTGGTACAACAAACACTTTATCTACTTATTTGTCTTGTACCTAGTAGAATTCTCTCCAAACGCCATATAAACAATATCGCTGATAAACAGGAATATTCCTTAAAATATTTCTCTGCCATGTTTGTTCTTCTGTAACATACATTGATTTTTGCTGCGCACCAGCCCAAAGCAAGGCAATTCGTAGGCGGAAAAGAAAAGTACAATTTTCGTATATTTTATTATAGTTTATTAAAAGCACATAAATTAGACTCCCATGTAATCCTGGCTTAAACCGTGGGCGGTAAATGCGCATGGGCACTGCGTGTTCGTTAGTTCTTTAGACTCCGCGAGTTGCGTACTAGGGTGTTCCGTTGATCGTTGTTCATGCTGCATCTTGCGCTTAGAACTTGGTGAGCGATTTTCATATTTTATAAAATTTATTTAGATTAAATAGATTTGATTACTATAAGACTAATTATTAAATAACTAGCTACGTCAGCGACTTCGCCCATGAAATAGTTAATTCTACGCGGACGAAGTTTGGGCATCAATTTAAACTGTTACCCACGACGTCAGTCGCGTATCGTTGTTTTTGCATGTTAATCTCAAAAGATATATAGTTTTACAGTGTACATATTGTTTGGGTATCTTCAGCCGTTTTTGCATCGGAAACCTACAAACATGAATTATTTTCCCCGTTTTTTTGGACATTTCCCGCTATTTCTTCTCTCCTATTACGCACAGCGCAATGCCTTCCTTTATAAACGCTCTCACCAACACAAAAAGAAATTTGCAATTCCACAAACAAACTCTTCAGCTTTTTAAATTAATATATATTTACAACTTACCGACAAATTACCGATATGTTTATATTTAAATTAGGATTCGCTGCCTATTCAATTATACAATTTCAATTTTCTCTCGAATTGGTTAAATGGTCTGAGTTTGAATTCTGTGAAACTTTGCGTGTGGATTGGTCGCTTGCTTAGGACAGATAAAGCAACTAACATTAGCATGTTTAAAGTCAGTAATTTAATATATTAAGTATATCCAGTATTTAGTTGCTATTATTTATTTGATTTCCTAAATTCGGCTAAAACATCGTCTAGAGTCTACACGCTACAAATTATCCTCACATTTTGTAATTTTTGTAAAGAAGAGTTAAACAAATAACTCTTCTCTTGAAGTCTCGTTTCTGTTCTATCTCTAGACATGATCTCAACAGGTTCAGTCGGCAATAAATGAGTATTTACTTAAATAGCTAAATTATAGGTGTCAGTGAGCAGGCTGACGTAACTGTGTGCCCGTGCGCCCACCTGGCTCCTACGTTACGATTTTTTCATTTTTATGGCCTAGACACGAACGTAGACATCCTGATTTCTGTTGTTAAATGCCACGGAGTGCCAGGCAAACGATAAGATTTTTTTACATCAAATGGTGGAATAAATTGGATTGTTTGGCAAATTTTTGTCTAGTTCTTTTTCTTTAATCTTTTGTCCGTTTTTTGTCTAAATTAAACCTTCTCTTGTATGGTCGGTCGGTTCTTTTAGCAATTGCAAAATGACATCACTCACAAATATGTGTCCACAGATCTTGCCTTGACATTACTCAATGCACTTTTGACTAATTTGTGTACGCCAATTGTGCCTTAGTTTAATACATCAAGATTTTTTTGAAGTGCATGGAGATAGCTAATTGTGAATGCTCGCAAAATAATTTAGTGAATGTCTTAGACTGGAGCATTAATAATAAATTGTCCTTTAATGTGGAAAAATGCTCGATAATGAGCTTTACTAGATCAACGGCATCTAAGGCATTCAACTATCAATTAGGCCACTGAAACGTATGAATCGAATCGCGGACTTGGGAGTGTTATTCACATCGGACTTACATTTTTGGGCCCAGGTCATCAAAGTTTGCAAAACAGCTTTTAGGTGTTTTAGCAGCGACTTCACTAGCCTTTCTACGGTTCGAATTTTATACGACACCTTAGTGAGAAGCCATTTAGAATACAACGCTACGGTTTGGTCTCCTCACGAGGACAATTACCGGTTAATGTTGGAAAAGGTACAGAATAAGTTTACACGTTTTCTTTACATGAAAATGTACGGTGTATATCCGTATTATCCATTGATGTACCCATCACTGTTCGTACTGGGTATGGTGGGTTATACGGAGCTTAGAGTGCGAAGGGAGTTGTCTCTTGCGGCGTATGTTATAAGGGTATGGCGGGGAAAAGAATGGAAAGAATTAGTTTGTTAGTACCTGATCAGTAGATACATAAAAGGCATCGCCCAAGTCTTATAAAAGTACCCTTTGTTAAAACGAATTTAAATAAAACACTTTAACGGTTTAAAACGCGATATATTAGTTAAACTTGTTTGAAAATGATTTTTAACTTCGGCCCGACGTTTCGGATGCTTTGCAGCAGCCGTGGTCACGGGGAGACTAAAGATGGAGGATGTCTCAGACGTCAAAGTAAAGAATTGCTACGCTAGCGCCATCTGTTCCGTCGAAGTTGGTATTTGGCGAAACTGGCCGGGTCCTTACAGAATTGACTAACGGTGTCTTCGCGTTTGCTGGTATGCTGTTTATTGGGATCCAGAGTTTTTAATATGGGATCCCAGGTGTTTGATAGTTTGAGGCCGTCCTCCCTATTGAAATTTCGGTGTTTTTTGATTTCAATTGCTTCGCGTACCAATCTTGGAAAAAATCGACTCTAGATCTACAGATAGAATTAGCAGAGTCCTAAATCGAGCTTCTATTGACACAATTTTCAAGCCGCACAAGAAGATTCAGCAATTCCTGAAACCAAGCAAGTGTACTATCCCTTTACAAGATGCAGGCGTTTACAGACTGGATTGTGATTGTGGCCTATCCTACATCGGCCAAACAAAGCGTAGCATCTCAAACAGAATTAAAGAACACGTCGCGGATATAAAACATAAACGTCTCTCCAAATCTGCGGTATGCCAACACTCATCAGAAGGGCCCAATCACTACATTCGCTTTGACCAACCAAAAATCCTCGCAAAGGAGAGTCGATTTTTTCCAAGATTGGTACGCGAAGCAATTGAAATCAAAAAACACCGAAATTTCAATAGGGAGGACGGCCTCAAACTATCAAACACCTGGGATCCCATATTAAAAACTCTGGATCCCAATAAACAGCATACCAGCAAACGCGAAGACACCGTTAGTCAATTCTGTAAGGACCCGGCCAGTTTCGCCAAATACCAACTTCGACGGAACAGATGGCGCTAGCGTAGCAATTCTTTACTTTGACGTCTGAGACATCCTCCATCTTTAGTCTCCCCGTGACCACGGCTGCTGCAAAGCATCCGAAACGTCGGGCCGAAGTTAAAAATCATTTTCAAACAAGTTTAACTAATATATCGCGTTTTAAACCGTTAAAGTGTTTTATTTAAATGTGTACTACTCGCGTAAACTATAGACAGTATTTAAAACGAATTTGTTAGGAAAAGCGTCTTGGACAAAAAAGTCTTGAAAAAGACGTTTTCTATGATGCGTGGAGTGAGTTCGTGAAGTGTTTACAGTTTGTGATTTCATATGGATTATAAAGTAATAAGCTGATAATTAGTAATAGTAAACTAATGATATTTAATATTAGTTAATAGCTAGTAATAAGTCATAGTTTAATTGTATTGTATATTTCTATGTTTGTTTTTAAGTTCAGTTTGTTTGGGCCCCCACCTGTCATGACATTGTAATTTAAATGATTAAATAAATAAATAAAATACTGAAGTTTGATCTATGCTTAGATCTTTTTTTCGTGAACGAGCAGGACAGGCGAGCTTGGGGTTCCCTGGATTTTAGGTAAAATACCTCAGCCGTATAACATCTCGACTTTTGCAAATGGAATGATGTGGATATCGATCAAGAAACGAAAAATAATGAAGTAGCGCTACGATTTATTCGTTGTCTCAATTGTCCCAGCTAGGCAATAATCGTGTAT